TCTACAGCAAGGTGGTTTCTACCCTCCTCACTCAGCCCTCGCACTGCTGGCACATGTCACAGCAGCCACCATGCCTGAAATTCAATCCCATGATGGATGGATGGAGTTGCTCCTGCAGTTGCCACTCTTTCCAGGGCACTTTGTGGTAGAGACATACCAGGAAAGTAGAAGCCTTGATTCCAGGCTCAGACAATGGGAGAAACCATGGTAAAGCATGGAAACCATAGAACAGGCTGGTGTTCCTTATTGTGGTTAACAAGTCCAAACATACCATGCTGAAATACCACAAGAAGGTTTAGATGACATGTAGGAATCCTGCACTATGGCTTGCTGTGTCCTGCTCACCTGCTCAATATGTGCTAAGCCCAAATAACATCTCATTGAATTGTGTTATATGTATCACTTTCCAGAAGAGGGCACCATTTCCTTTCTCACACATGAAAGGAGTCTCTACTGCTTAAAACCAGAGACTTAAAACTATACTGTGATGTATAGGCAAAAATAAAACAATCTATTTGTATATACAATGAACCATCTCACTATAAAACTAGCACTAAAACAGTGAAACATAATTGTACACACATAAATAGTCACATACCAAGTATAGTCTAATAGAACATAGCTCCCCTTCGCTATGCTTTTTAATACGGAATATGCCTTTTCTTTCTTACCAGAGCATTTTTATAGTTGATTAGTGATGAATACATTGTTCTTACAAGCAGTGCATGCGCACACAGACACACACACACACAAGAGCCAGGAATGGGGTTTGGGGTGGGGGGTTGTTCAACAAAGATTGGCAAATACTAGCAAGAAATTTATGTCTGGGTTGCTCATATAAAGGACAGCTTGGGAGATAATGAAAAACATCCTCAGTGCCTCAGTGCTCCCAGATGCAAAATCACTCACAGACTGACTTCAGCCATGCTTCAAAGGAAATCAATCCCACTTCCACCCTTCAGACTGCCACAGGTCGGTTTTTGTTCAAGTAAAGCTTCAATATCAATAACAGACCTCTATCAATATCAGTGGCAAAAAGATTTTACCATAAAAGATCTCTGTCTATGAAGTCAAAAGCTGAACTAAAATCCACAATAGTAATATATAGCTCCTTTCCACTGATTTGAGAATATTTCTGAGATCAAATCATTGGTTTATTGTGGTGGATTTTGCTTTGGAAACCCAACCTAAGCATAAATAATAAAAAAGCAGATTATTTGAATTAAAAAAGACATTTCTGATTAATGTAATGAGTTTCTAATGTCTTCCACAAAGTAGAGTATATGATCTTTGTGTAATTTTTACTAGGGATGCTTCCTGCTTTTTTAAAAAAGGAAATCAATTGTTCATATAATTGATTAATCTAATTTTGCATATTTACAAACAAAAACTTTAGGTGACATACACTTCCTGGGTTTAGACAACATGATAACTCACAAGCTCAAGGGTTGAGCTTGGGCAGAGTGAGTGTTGCTGGAACATGGGTTATTATGTTTTTGAACCCAGCAATGGTTCATAACCAGCTCTGGTTTGTTTGCATGAGCCATAAAAAGAACCAGTGATCTTTTCTTTTCTTGGAATGTGGTGGCTGAAAAGACATGCACCTGATCCAAGGCTCAATGAAGGACATCCTGAGCTGGTAGTCAAGGAGGTCATCCCGAGAGCATACTCCATCACCAGGCTAACGTGTGTTGCCGTTTGGAAGCACCCAAACAGCTTAACAACAAATGGGTGCTTCCTCTTGCTGTTGGCCTGCAACACACGCTTCTCTGTTTCGAGCCTGAAAAGACAAAGTACAGAGAGGAGTGAGATTGGCAGAGGGACAGGATCCAGCACCACCCCCTGCCCTCAGCCTTGGCCTGGCAACGCGCTGGGTTCGCCCAAGGCTGGCGGCATCACACAGAGCCTCTGCACAACCCATCAGGGGATCCATGGAGCCGAGCCCCTCCAGTCCCCACCTCAGTGCAGTGAGGACCCCCACCAGTCCATTCTCACTTACTGTTGCACATGCTCCATTTCAGCCTTTCGGACACTCTTCACTGCCAAGAGTGTTTTCTCTGGTTTGTACACAGCCAGAAAGACCTGAAAGAGAGGGGAAGGCCTCAGTCCATGCTTCCTTCCTCCTGGAATCACAAAACGGCTCTGGTACTCTCTGGGTCCCTCACCTTTCCAAACCTACCTTGGCCCAGGACTGCCAGGAAGTGGAAGTCTTCCACTGTGAGCGCAGTCCTCTCTGATCTGCAACACAGAGCAGCGCTACTGGACCCCTGGGCAAGTCATGGCCCTTTCCAGACTGGGGAGTGAGCGAATGTGCATGCACGACACATTGGAGTGTCCTTCTTACCTGCTCTCCAGAGGGACTTCTGCTCCAGCAGGGCCTGGATCTACAGGAAAGGAGACAGGGCTGGCATCTCCTGGGTGGAAGAATCCAGACTCAGGAGAGGCCTCTTCCCCCTCAGCCTTTCCCCGTTTCTCTAAAGTGAGGACTCACTCAAGTCTTCCTCTGTCTTCGGCTTCCTGGTCTTCCACCGCCACCAAGAGGGGCGGCAGCAGCAGCAACAGAGAAGCTCGTGGATCCACCTCAGGAGTCCCACGTTGCCTAGTGGGGAGAGCAGGGGGAGCCTGTGGGACCCTTCAAGCAGCTCGCTTCAGGGTCCTCTCAAAGGGATGCACCCGCTCTGAGGAGAACGTGCCTCTGCAGGGTGCAGCCCAAACGAGGACAGACCTGGCTGGAGGCTTGTGGGGCTGCATCTGCTCCCCCTTGTTGTGGGGTGGCAGCAGGGCAGCTGTTAAGCTACATAAAGGAATACAGTGGCATGAAAGTTAACTATGTGCACTGCTGAAACGCTGGGAAAATGGAAAGGTCTTCCTCTGGCACCTGACAATCCAAAGTAAGTGCCAGGTGCACCTCTTTGGGGTGCTCATTCCACATCCGGGGTGCCACCACCGAAAGAGCGTTCCCCGGTAGCCACCTTCTCATTTCCTTTGGAATGGTCTCCCAAGCAAGGACCGCAAAAGATGGCCACAGGGTCTGGGTGGGTACATATGGGCAGAGGTGATCCTTCAGGTGAGCTGGCCCCAAGCTCTTTAGGGTTTGGAATGTTGCGCCAGGAATTGGGCTTTGAATTGGGCTCAGAATTGAACCAGGAGCCAGTGCAACTGGAAGAGGGTCCTCAGGAAATTCCGCCCACCAGCACCACCCACTGCCCTGTGCCGTTCCTGCCTTGTGCAGAAGCCTCAATATCCCTTTTCTAGAAGAGGAGGCGGATACAAGGGGAGGCGGATGCAAAGCGAGGTGTCCACCCTCACTGGGCCAAGCAGGGGGCGGAGGACGCATGGGAGCCGTGGACACTCAAGCCCATTGCCCTTCTCCTGCAGGGGAGCACTCACATGTCACTGGCAGAGCCGGCTGGCCTTTTTGCGGCTTCCCTCCTGCTGGCCCTGTGAGGTCACTGCAGGAGGAAGAGGAGTACCATCAGTGATCTGGGGAATGTGCCCATCTGGACATGAAGGTCCAAGCATGAGTTGTTCCCCAAACAGATCAGAACTCATAACTATTACCTTTGTCAGGGACCTCGTCACACCCTCTGGGCAGCTCGCAGCCTCCCACTGGCAACCGAAGCTGCGAGAAGAGCAAACTTGTGTAAGGAACCACAGTTCACTTTCTGCTGGGTGGTTCCCTGAAGGGGGTAGAATAGACCCAACCCACTTTTGCTGAATGCTCAGGAGGAGCAGAGAGGGCACAGATCAACAGGACGTGAGCCAGAGGTGGAACGGATTCCAGGGAGGTTGCGTGTGCAGCCAAAGGCTACCTGGGCAGCAGAAGATCTGGGAAAAGTCTGGGAGAGGATGTCGCTGAGGGTCTGGAGGCCCTGTGGTTCCCCTGGGGCAAAGAGGTCGTGGCTGGGGGACACACAGGAGCCATTTGTCACCACAGAAAGACCTTCCCCTGGAGAAAGGGCAGAGCACTGCACCTGCTGGGCTGACTGGCTGCTCGGGCACCACCGGGCTCGTTCCTCCGCGCCGATCCTGTCGGGAGGCTGCAGCTGGGCTGGAGGGCCGACGGGGGCAGAGAGGGCGGAGTGGTGGTCGGGCCCAGAGCCTGAGATGGGGGACGGCCAGGGGAGGACGGTGTAGGAAGAGCCCCTTGGCCAGGCGAGGAAGTGGCCCGGGAGAGCAGCTAGCCCTGGGAGGCACCCGAGGAGCTGCTCCTGCTTTCCCTCGCCACTCTGGCCTCCCTCAGCACCTCATCCGCACAGCAGGCAGCGCCAGATACATTCCGCCACTCGGTGCTCCTAGCCCTGAAGTGGGACAGGAAAGCTCCTTACAGGAAGCGAGGAAGGGCACTGTCACCTGCGCAATATTCACCCAGCCTTTCCCACCCGGGGTCGTGGGGGCACCAGGCCTGGGACCACAGCGTGGCAGTGGCCAGGAGAGGGTGACGCTGAGCCACATCTGACAGGCTCGGGCATGTGCCCTCTCCACATGGAAGGGGCTGGTGAAGGACACTGACCTGTCCAGTATGATGGGGAGTGCCCCCTCCAGCATGCAGCGGAACCCCTCTGAAATGCTGCTCAGAGGCTCCCCAAGAGGGCAGGTGCAGAAGCAAGATGTCACTGGTGCTCTTAGGATCACGTTGGTGGTGCCTCTCCATTGGAGCCTGAGGAGACTCTGTCTGCCGGTGCAGCGGGTCGTCCCAGGAGATCCCCTGCAAGAAGCCAGTGGGCCACGTTTCTGACTCCCTGGCAGGCACTTCTTGGCTGAGGCAGGGCAGTGATGCCAGCTGGACACAGGGAAGCCATAACAGCCACGGTTCAGAGTGGGGTGGAGACCTACAGGCTTCAGCAAAGGTATGGGGCTGCCCAGGAGAAGCAGTGTCCTGTGGAAAAAAGCTGGGTGGAAAAATTTGGGCAAGGGACACCGACCCCAGCCCCACTCAGAAAAGGAGAAAGAAAGCATCGGGCGATGATGCTGCAGGCTGCCTGGAGGTAGCAAGGGCCTCAGAAGTGGTGGGAAGAGGCTGCGGTCCTCCTGAGGGGGCTCGAACCTGGAAGAAGACATGGCCTTTCATCTCTCCGGAATCCGTTCCCCAAGTGAAGCTCGGGGTTCTTCATCAGCACCTGGAAATCAGTTCAGCAAAAGTAAGATAAGGCATCCAGGTTTATCCTCACCCAGCAAGATCTGAGAGAGAGGGGAAAGCCTCAGTCCAGGCTTCCTTCCTCCTGGCATCCCAAAATGGCTCCGGTGCTCTCTGGGTCCCTCACCTTTCCAAACCCGCCTTGCCCCAGGACCGCCAGGAAGTGGAAGTCTTCCGTTGTGAGCGGTGTCCTCTCTGATCTGCAACACAGAGCTGCAGTACTGGACCCCTGGGCAAGTTGTGGCCCTTTCCGGACGGGGAGGCAGCGAATGTGTGTGCGTGTCACGCTGGAGGGTCCTTCTTACCTGCTCTCCAGAGGGACTTCCGCTCCAATGGGGCCTGGACCTACAGGAAAGGAGGCAGGGCTGGCATTTCCTGGGCGGAAGAATCAAGACTCGGGAGGGGCCTCTTCCCCCCGCCCCCCCCCCAAGCCTTTCCCCGTTTCTCTAAAGCGAGAACTCACTCAAGTCTTCCTCTGTCTTCGACTTCCTGGTCTTCCGCTGCCACCAAGAGGGGCAGCAGCAGCAGCAACAGAGAAGCTCGTGGACCCACTTCAGGAGTCTCATTTTGCCTAGTGGGGAGAGCAGGGGGAGTTTGTGGGACCCTTCAAGCAGCTCGCTTCAGGGTCCTCTCAAAGGGATGCACCTGCTCTGAGGAGAACGTGCCTCTGCAGGGTGCAGCCCAAACGAGGACAGACCTGGCTGGAGGCTTGTGGGGCTACATCTGCTCCCCCTTGTTGTGGGGTGGCAACAGGGCACCTGCTTCAGGTGGCTCCCATGGCCTCTTATCCGAGGGGAAGGTCACTTCCCCAACTGCCAGACAGAGGGGCGATTGGGTTTCTGGGGAGCCGGCCAGGTGCCTGCCCTCATGAGTGCTCTCTTGAGCGCAGGGCTGGACAGAGGAAGAGGGAGAACTTACCATCTCCCGATTATCCCTGTGGAGGTGATAAATTCTCCTGGGGCCAAGTGTCTCACATCCCAAGACTGGGAATGGCATGAACTCTGTGGAAATCCCGCGATGCCCTCGAGCTGAGACAGCCTGCCTCTGCTCGCACCCACGCAAATGGCCACAATGAGCAGGCCGGAGCCTGGGCCAGGCAAGCAGCTGCCATGGCAACGAGGGCCCTTCATTCTCCCTTCAGAGGGTCCAGGCTCCTGGGTCTTGGAGTTGCTTTGCGACCCCACAGAGGACTTGGTGGGCTTGAGCTCCCTTTCATTCCACTCGGGGGCAGCACATGCCCCTCCCTTTTTATTTAAATAAGTTTTATTGTTATTTTTCTACTAACTAACAAAACTAATGAAAAGAAACTAAAAAATCATCAATCATCAAAAACAACAGACCTACTGGGTCAGCACCCCATACTTTTTCTTTTTATGATAATCCGTAAACATATTTAAGTCTATGTATAGTCCTGTTTCTCTAGCCAATAATAAAAGGAATTCCAAGTTTGATAGAAGTCTGTATCTTCTTTCTCCTTCAGAGACAAAGTTAATCTGTCCATTTCGGCACAGTCCAAGATCTTTTTTATAGTCAGTTCATCAGTAGGTGGTTCTTCACTCTTCCAATGTTGGGCAAATGCAATCCTCACCACAGTAGTTACATGTAGAATCAAATACATTGCTTGATTACCAACATCATCAGGTACAATGCCTAATAAGAAAACTTCAGGTTTAAATGTTAGAGGTTTTTGTAACATTCCCTCAAGCCATTTGTGTATTTTCATCCAATATTTTTTTGCCTTATCACAGGTCCACCACATATGATAAAAGGTACCTGGTTTGTGTTTACATTTCCAACATCCATTTGACATATTTGGAAACATCTTAGCTAATCTATGCGCACATGCCCCTCTCATGCCTTCTGATTTGTAGCCCCACAGTCCCAGAATGAGTCCTCCATCGAGGCCCTGGTGCCAACCTCACTGTCCTTCCAGGGCCTGGTGAGGCCCTTCTGCTACCACAGGGTGTTCTGTTGGTTTAGCAGGGCTCTGTTGGCTGCTTAACAGGCTGCAGGCTTTACCTTACCTCATTGGAAAGTTGTATGTGTTTTACATTTGGTTTTAAACAGCAAATATTTTAAGTATGTTTTATGGAAGCTGGTTTTATTTTAAATGGTATATCCTTAAGGAGGATCAGGCTGGCTGAGGGCCCTCAGCCAACACACAGAAGGAAAGATGGTTTCCTGGGAAAGTGACTCAGGAGGACTCCTTAAAAACGTTCAGAGGGGTGGTGATCTCGGGTCTTATGGCACCCCAGAGACACACGCAAACACACAACAAATTCCCCACTTCACTGCCCTTCCTTCTCTCTCCAGCTCCTCTTTCTATCTCTTCCTTGTTTAGTTTCCCCTCCTCATGCTCGCTGGATCCTTTTCTCTCCCACATGACCCTTCTTGACTCAGCCACACCTCACTCTCTGCAAAAAATTATGTGACACTCCACATCGCCTTGTATACAAAAGGAGGGACTGTGGCTATTCAGGGAATTCACAGGCACAACCATTCAGGCACATTTCGGAGCATGGAAAGTGCTACCAATTGCAGCACCCCAAAACACCCCAAGAGTAATTGGCCAGAGAAAGGCCCCAAAAGTAGTTGGCCAGAGGAAGGCCACATAGTAAAAACACCACAGTTATACTGTCCCAGAAGGGAGGGGGGATAAAAACAAAATGAGCTTTGTGTAACCCACAGCTAACACGCTAGCCTGATCTGGAATACTGTAATCAAAGGGACAGTGGAAACTGGTTCTAGCCGCCATGAAAATTGCAAACGTGCAGGGAGTAAGAACATGGCAAGCCTGTGTGAATCTCAAGCAGATAAGAAATAGACATGGGAAATGTCTGGTCCTTGACAAAAGAAAGGACTCTTTCTCCAGCACGGGAGGGGGTGCATACATTGATGTATCGATGTATTAGATGTGTATTAGGTGACCTAATTCGTTACCTAGGGTATAAAATGCATGTACTGGGGTGCAACTTTGGAGACACTGCTTTGGGCTGAATGTCCCCTTTTGTCTCCCTTTATTCTATAGTGCAGTAGAATAAAGCTGATTTTGGCTCTAAGTCTCGTCTCAGGCTCTGTTTGGCTCCAGTCTGGGGTCCACCCGGGTTTGCCTCAGCTGTTGACTGGCTCAGTCTGGTAACAAAAGCAATAGAGGAAGCCCACATGGCTCCACAGAGAATTGTGTGGCAGCCCAGAAGAAAACAAGAACATGGACAGGAAGTGAAAGCAGGGCCAGGCCACGAAGGAGGAGTATAAACAGATAGCAAGGAGTTGTTGGGACAGCATCAGGAAGTTAAAGCAGGAAACAAACTGAAAAGAGCAAGGGATGCCAACATCAACAAGAAAGCCTTCTTCAGATCCATCCAGAAGAAGAGACATGAGAAAGAGATGGGTGTCCAGTTATTTAAGGTGGATGGCAGATCGATAAGAGATGACAAGGAAGAGGCAGAGGTGCTCAATTCCTACTTCAGCCCAGTCTTCTCCCACAAGAAAATCTACAACCAAGAGGAAGTGTAAGCTGAAAGTGAGAGATGGTTAGTCCAGTTAGTCTGACATTAATCCCTGGAAAAATTCTGGAGCAAATTATTAAAGAATCAGTCTTTAATCATCTGGAAGATCATGCAGTGTTTAATAGAAGCCAACATGGATTTATCAAAAATTAATCCTTTCAGGCTAATTTAATCTCATTTTTTGAATGGGTAACCTCACAAATGGACAGAGGGAACACTGTGGACATAATCCATCTAGAATTGAGAAAAGCTTTCTACACAGTGCCCTACAACATTCTGATAAGAAAATTAGCAAAAACTAGACTAGATAGACAAACTATTAGATGGATCAAAATTTGGCTGCTAACTTGTACCCAAGGAGTACTCATCAACCGCACCTTCTCAGACTGGAGGAAGGTAACTAGTGGGGTGCTGCAGGGTTCAGTCTTGGTTCCAGTGCTCCTCATCATCTTTATTAATTATTTAGATGGGTGGAATAGCAAACACCCTAGAAGACAGAATGAAGATCCAGAGTGATCTTGATCAACTTGAACGCTGGGTTGAAAGCAACTGATAAGATTCAGTAAGGACAAATGCCAAGTCCACCACCTAGGAAAAAGAAACCAAATGTATCAATACAAGATGGGAAGTATTTGACTCAACAGAACTTGAAAAAGAAAAAGATCTTAGAGTAATTGTGGACAACAGGGTAAATATGAGTCAGCAAAGTGATGCAGCTGCCAAAATGGCAAATGCTATTTTGGGAGGCATTACTTCTGAATCACAAGAAGTAATAGTTCCCCTATACTCCTCACTAGTCAGACCTCATCTGGAATACCGTGTCCAAGATATAAGAAAGATGCAGGAAAAATTAGAAAGGGTCCAGAGGAGGGCAAAAAAAATGATCCAGGGCTCAGAAACACTGCCCTGTGAGGAGAGACTGAGACTCTGCTTTGAAAAGAGAAGACTGAGGTGGGACAGGCTATCCCTCTACAAGTGCCTGAAAGGCTGTCACAAAGAGGAAGGTCAAGATCTCTCCTCGCTGATAGCAGTGGGTAGAAAACAGAATAATCAAGTCAAGTTGTGACAACCCAGATTAAAGCTAGGAATCAGGAAAAGCTTCCTCACTGGCAGAGCAATATGACAGTGGAACCAGCTGCTAGAGAGGTGGTGGGCTCTCCCACACCATTAAAAAAAAACTGGACAGCCCTCTGAGTGGGATCATGGAAACTGGTGTCCTGCTTGTACCCCTTGGCCTTCTATCGTTCCATGAAAACCAAGACTCAGATAAGGACACCAGATTCCCACACACACACACTCACACACACAAGGCCTCTACAGGAGATTACACTTACTGCAAAGTCTGCTCTAACTTGGCAAGAAACTGTCCATTCCTGCTCAGGCCAACTTGAGGGGTCATTGCAAAGCAGGGGAAGGGGGTATATTCCCCATCAGCCTGCGCTCAGCACTAAAGAGTGTGTGGGGAAACTGGACTGCTGGTTTTGGCCAGTGGCATTCTGGCCTGGCTAATAGCTACCCCAGGGCTCCCTGGTTTTTACTTTTATGAAGGGTTTTGCTTTTACACTGAAGGAAACTGAAGCAGACATCAGCAGTCGGAAGCAAAATACCCTCACACAGAAGGAGGAAGAGAAAACATTTCTGTTCCCCTGAAAATCATGCCCAGCTGCTTCCCTGAACTCCCACAGGGAACAAGCTGTGGCTGCGATGCAAATGATACCCAGTTATCAGAGGAAGAATGTAGAATAAGCTGATAGTGGCAATTCAGTAAGTGGCAGAATTATTATTGCCTTGTTTGCCTTACTCAAGGAAGGGCGCAGTCAAGATATAGGGAAAAAGAGGCTTGTTTGTTGAAGCGTTGTCATCATCAGCCTCCTTTCATTCGAATAAGAACAAAAGTAGGCAGTATGATTTGTTGCCCTCAGAACTGATGCATTAGCCACCCCTGAACTACCATGACAACCCCTTAATTTACTATGCTCTCATCTGCTGAGTAGCCTCCACAGAGGCCGAAACATAATATATTACTAGTGCAAGAGCCTCTTGGTCATGAAAGGTGGAGGACGGCTCAAGCTTTGTGTGTGAACGTTCCCTTTGTGTCTCTGGCACCTGGAAAATGTGGGAAATCTATGGAGAGGGAATGCGCTCTAAAATCCTAGGCCTCTCCTGAGAAAGCAAGTGCAAGATATCCATTAAGTCTGGATCCGTTCGGACAGCATTTTCCATTCAAAGGCTCGGCTTTCTGAATGGCATCCCAAAGCTTGCCTGGGTCAGGTGGCACCTCCCTAGCAGGTGAGCCAAGCATGTGTCAGCAGAGACAATTGCAGAGGATAAGCCTTATTGGCACAGAATACACAGTGGCTGTTTAAGTTCAGTCAAGGGTTGTTCATACAGCCCATTAGTGATATTTATCAAGTAATAAAATGTGCAGGAGATAAGATTTTTATTATCTGATATCTAATTTTATTAATTTGCAGCTAATTGGTTGCATTGCATTTTTAATGAGCAATGTTCTCCAGAGCCTTCTTGGGAATGTTTGTATGTTCTTATCATTTAACAGCTACGGCACAATGGTTGTGCAAACAGCCTCAAGATAAAGCTACTTCTGGTTGTTTCTTGTTTATTTTGTAGCAACTCACCTCTGACAGGTGCTTTATTCTTCTAGACCCTTACATAACCTTGTTGAACCTGGCTAAAAATTTCAGAAAACCAAGCCAGCCCTTGAACAGAAGGAAACTTCCTCTGATCTTTGTTACAAAATAAGATACAACTTCATTGTTACAATATATGAAAGTCTTCTCCATATACCTATAAAACATATGTTATACTTTTATACGGCATGGGATTCATGTGAATTAGGAACTATGAAATACCTTCTGTCCAAAGGCAAATATTTGTGGCCCATTATACAATGGAGAATATTTAAATCCCATTGAAACCAATAGGAGCTAAGTGCACTTCACTGTTACCTGATTGCTGTCAAGGGCTCCATTTGCCCACAGCAGCCATCATCATCACTGCTGCAAGATTCTAGTAGATGGACATCCTTGCATGTGCAAAAGCACAGACACCCCTTAGTGAGGCTATAGATTGCCCTCTTCTGCCCTGGGGCCCCTATGACAACTACAACTACTGTTAATTTTGGAAGTTTTCCAATTTTCCAAGGATTAACATACACAGATTAGTATGGGGCCCACGGGCAAGTGCCCATCAGGCGTTAAGATGGCCCTGGGAGTCTGCCCCACAGGTTTGCAGTTATACACCCAGAAGAAAGAAGAAACAGAACATAGAACTGAAAGGAGAAACCCTGCAGAGGGAGGAACTGCACTGGATCCGGGAACATAAAATAACAAAGAATCAGACAGTTGGAAGGGGCATTGAAGGCCATCAAGTCCAACCTCCTGCTCAATGTAGGACTCAGGTCTCCCATCCACATTCTCACCAGGCCTGGCCTTGCTTAGTTTCCAAGATTAGGCAGGGTCAGGCACTTCAGGCTATAATCTGGTCTAATCATTTTGCCAGGTGGGATGAGAATGTGGTAAACAAGTGTTGGGGTGGTAGAATGGATTTCACACTGCAGACGAAGGGCCATGCTTTTAATTCTTCTCTGTGTAAGGAGCTGTTCTGAACTACAAAAGCAGCATCAAAACCAGGGAGTGAATTAGAACTTTTTTCTTCTGAGGAGCTAGTTTGCCCTTTCTTTCTTTTTGAATTTGGCTTCTCCAAATGGGTGAGAGTTTTTACCCCAGTGTTCCCTAGGCCTCTTCACTTTTGATTTGTCAAGGCACCTCACTTTAGAGAACACCTGCATCAAAGATGGTATACTATTTATTTAATGCATTATGGTTGCAGACTATAAGCAAGAAAGAGAGAAAAGGTCACATTCCCCTTTTCTGTGGCCGTATTGTTTTGCTCAATAGACCAGGGCGAGCTCTGTGGGCCTCCAAAATCGCCTAGGCAAGTGACTCATCCACTTTTCTCACCAGACTAAGAAAGGAAGACATTGCCTCTTGCTATTGATTTTGCACTTGAGCTTGGCCCAATGGCCAAGAAGGGATTGCCATGGATTTTATAAAATTCCTTTGTATCCCTATTGCAGGTGCATAGATTTATTTAATTAGTTAGTTAGTTAGTTAGTTATATTTCTAACCCATCCAATCACTATGCGTCTCTGGAGGGCTTACAAGCAAAATTCAATAAATACAACAATATAAAAATCATAAATACCCCAAACTATAATAAGGCTAACAACCTACAACTGAAGTAAAACATAATTAAATTCTTTTAAACATTAATGTGTAAAGCTCCTCTAGGTCCCCCTACTTCCCTCTTCTTCCTGGAAGCAGAGATGCTTCAGTACAACTAATTGTTTTGTCCCCACAGTAAAGGCACCCCTTATCTAGCAAATGACTGGGCAAGGCAGCTATGAAGCCATTATCTCAGCTGCTTCATCTAACATACCACAGACCACGAGGCCTTGGCATGCCTTCAAGGAAGTATTCTGGCTTCTTGAAAGTTGAAGATTACCTGTTGAACCTTCATAACCTCCTCACTGGGTTTTTCCTGTGCAGTGAGAATTTTGTTACAGTTCATATTTAATAAGAATTATACCAAAATTAACTATTTTTTTCTCATTTAGGAGAGGCAGAAGTTGAGATTTTAAAAATCAGAATGTGGTAAAAAGAGAAGCTGGCAAGGTCACTCATCTTTGCCTCTGAGCATCTGAGATAACCATCAACTCCAAGTTCCCCTTGGGAGTTTCCAGAAATGTCTGGTTGGCCACCACTGAACATAAAAGGCTGGGCTGGGCTGACCTTTTTGTTTCCCTGTTCAGGATGCAGCTTCAGGACACTAAATACTGCAACCAAATAGGCCTGGCTTTGCATTTCCATTTTCTGTCTTTTGTTGTCTCCTGACAATCCCTGACTCTGTCCTTGACTTGTTTTGCCACCAGAGAACATTCATGATATGTATACAAAAAACAGAGACAAATTCTCAAAGATTCTTAAAGTTATATTATTTGAAATGTTGAGGAAATAATATGCTTAAGTAACATCTTCCATCAGTTTGTTTCAAACACATATACTGCATAGATTTTCTATGATCAAATATACAATCTTTCATTATAGTACTATTTAGTGTCAGACTGTGCTTTCAAAGTTCAGGAAGCAAGGAAATATTTACCAATATTGACTTTTAATACATATTTATAATTTTACAACTTTAGAAATTCACCATTATGTTCAATCTTTTCATCATTAAAGAAGTCTGGATTGGCTAGATAAGCAGTCATTTCAGAAAATGAATTTCCAAGTAATCTGGTCTTCCTCCATGTCCTGGTATTGTGCTTTGTTCTGTTTTAGTCATCCATCCTGATGAACAGTTCTAAAGAACATTAATACTTGCTCTATCTTTTCTGGCATCTGGGTTGGTCCTAATAAAAGAATTGCCCAGCTGTGGACTTTTGGACTTTTGACAATCTCTTTGTTACTTTGCAGGCTCAACTTTTCAACAGGTTTTGAAACTATTCAACTTTCTGGATTTTTAAAAATATGTTTTTAACATATATTTTGATTTCAGATGCACTATTTTTCATATTTTTCTGATGGAGTAGCAATCAATTATTATTATTATTACATTTTTATACTGCCCATAGCCAAAGCTCTCTAGGCAGTTGACAGCAATAATCATAGAATCATACACTCAAGTCACCCATCCCACTTCTGTCCAGGCCTGGCCCTGCTTAGCTTCCAAGATTAGGCAGGATCAGGCACTTCAGGCTACACATTCCACGGTTAAAGTTTGTGATTCATAATATCTTGACACCCTTCATCATATTAGCATTAAGAGAGGGGGTTGCATTAAAATGAGATAGTTTTAGTGAATGGATTTGGGAATTAACTCAATCCAAATCTGCATATTGGGCTAGTTATTTCAGACTTCTGAATGTAAAAGCCTACTTTGCTGTCACATTCTCCAGATGTCCATAGTTACTGATTTTCTGGGGCCTGTCTTTGATAAATATTTCCATGCTTAGTTCTAGTTGTTCCTCTTGGGCACATGATGGGACATATCTTTTAAAATCTCAGGATGTACACACATGTGCTAACATCCTCAGTGTTTCAGCCCTCTCATAACTCTCGAGCTAAATCCCTGAGTAGTGGCCGGGTACAGGCAGAGGGGAAAGTACATCTTGTCTCCATGCACATGAACACAAAATGGAAGGGGTCAGATTCCCCCATACGGTACACCCTGCTAAATTGCTACCAGCACTTGGGCAATATTTGCAAAAACATTCACTCAGATTAAACTTCATATGAACTGTTTTTCAACAAACTGTTATGCCAGTTTAGTATGCAGAAGTTGAAGAGCATGTATAATGGGCAAGAGGAGATGAATCAGGTGCGGATCTTTGGTGTGTATGAATGGGGATAGAGGAAGTATACACAAGCATGCCTAATTTCACCTGAAAAATGTTGTGTGGAGTGTGTTTTCTGTCTCCCCAATGCCCGGCTGAGCATGGAAGTCTTGGCTTGGTGGCAGCAGAGCAGGTGCCTTCCTACAGAAGGGCCCAGGTTTTGTTGCTGGCATCTCCAGGCAAGGCTAGGAAGGACCTCTTCCTAAAACCTTGCAGAGTTGCTGCAGTCAGCTCAACGATACAGGGCTTGATGAACCAAGGCCTGGCTTGGGATAAGACAGCTTCTGATGTATGTCTAGGAGGTGTGCCCAGTGTGCAGAGGTAACTCATTATTTTCCATGACATGCACTATCCCAGATCATTTAAAACAATCCCATTCCCTGGCAGAGAAGTGAATGGAGCAACCTCTGCTTGCAGTGTCCTGATGCCATATCAGTTTGTACACTGGAAGCACTGCATGGGGATGATGTTAATGAGAACCAAGGGAGTTGTTGGCCCATATGATTAGCCCTTTTAGAAGTGGATTCTTCATTCTGAAGAATGCTGAGCTACACATCTGGACAAAACTTCCTAGTCAGTGGCCATTATTTTGAATCTGATTGAAAAATGCCATTCCTGCAACGAAACTTAGAATATGACTCATCTCACAACATTAGTAAAACAGCCCATCATCTGCCAAGCAATGATATATTTGCTGAGGGCAAACACATGTCCACATTGGATGTCTGTATTTTAAACAGTTCCGTGGGAAGGTGCAAATTCTGAATGATTTTTGCCTCCCCTACTTCCTGGGTACACTCACCAGCATTGTTCTCCAGCTCTGCACAGACTATACAGCCTCTGCCCTCTACAGGGCAGAAAACTGGATGGGCTGGACCCACAACCACTCTGACAAGTTTTGCATGACACAACAAGCTGTGGTAGTTTCTTGAGAGGAAGGCCCGTTGTGCCGTCTGAGCCCTGTTGTGGTATTTCAGCAGGGTACAGTCTTTAGAAAACACAATACACAACAATGGCCTGCCCTATGGTTTCCATGCTTCAGCATGATTTCTCCAGTCATCTGAACCCAGCGTCATGGTCTCCACAGTTCTGGTGTGCAGTTGCTACAGAGTTCCTTGGAAAGAGCAGCAGCTACAGGAACTGCTCCAACCATGCATTGTGGGATGGATTTCCAGGTGCAGTGGCTGATAGGATATGTGTCACCAGCAGGAGGAGTGAGTGAGGAGGGTGGAAAATATGCTAGATCAGAAACCACTTGATCTTCTCTCAGGCACATGCAGGCAAAAAATGCCCTTTCAGCATGAAAACCATGCAGGGTTGCTTGTAACGAAGCATGAACTCAGCCTGTATCTCTCTGCCACTGTGGCAGACAGTTCAACCTTGTCCACTGTCAGTTTCCAGGTGGCCTATTTTCATGCCTAGGAACATACAAATGACATTCTGGGAATGTCAGGCCACTGCACGAAATGCAACAGGATCCATTCTGAACTTCCTCCCTTTCCCAAACAGGAGCAGAGGGAAGTCTATCATGGCTGCATGCCTGCTATTGGTGCTTTCCTTGGGAGGACAGTGTTGTGGACACACACAGGCTTAGTTTCAGATGCCTCCAGCGACATGACCATAGTGTGTTTGCAGGAAGTGGTACAACAACGCTCACTAATTCCTGGCCTTCAGTCATAGTCCTGAGGGCTGGAATTCTTCTTCAAAGATCTCATCTCCAACTGTATTCTCATAAGCAGGAGGGGGCGTGAGGGGCTCCAGCTGCTCCAGCCGCTCTGTGTTCCCTTTGAGTTCATGGGTATCCGAGACAATTCGCTTGAGTCTTGGGGGCAGTACCAAGCAAAGGTGTAGCCTGGAGTGCAGATCGGCCTCTGAAGCCCGCCGTGCACCTGGGACCACGGAGACACTGAATGCCTCCACCATGGTCTCTCCCTGGGCAGGGGGCTCAATCACCACACTGTACGGAGGGGGGTCCCCCTGGGCTGGGCCTGCACCAGACGTGATAGTCCAGATCGTCGGTGCAGAATCAGATAAATAGCCTGTGGCCACCACCTCCTCATACGCCGGTGCTTCGTAGGCCGCATTGTCTCTGCAAATAAAACAACAGGGGTAGGAATTAAAAACAGATTGGTGCAAGACACCCCCTTTACTGGAATGCTGTTGAATACTAAGCAAGGCATCTCGTCAACCTTATTCATGGAACAAGTCCATGGAATCTGCATGGCCACCTGACTGTCCCACCCAGTGCTTCATCTGATCCTCCTCTCGCAAGGTTTGCACTGAATGAAAATCAGGCTAGCTCTGCTCGTTCTGGTTGCTCTGGATCTGTGATGGAATTCAGACAGAGGCTTATGTCCCTCAGCTGTTCTAGCCAGCCCTGGCCATACCCAAAGGCATCTGGCACATCGTTTGGGCAGCTGCAAACTCATGGACTATGTGACTGCTGAGGCCTGGCACAGCCATGGACCAAGGATTAGGTGAGCTGGGATGTCCCTTGTGTTGGATGTCATAAAAAGGCAAATGAATTGCCCAAATGCCACTGGGCATATGAGTGGGAGGAGGCAGCACATTTTAATTCCACGATTTTCCCTTGCAGGACTGAACCTGGGTGACTTTGGGCCAGTCACAGACTCTTAGCCCAAAGAGGTTGTTGTTGAGAGGATAAACTTGAAAGGAAAATTATGTAAGCTGCTTTTAGTTCTTTTCAAAAGAAAAAGGGTGGAATATACAGTAACTCAGATAGATAGACAGACAGACAGACAGACAGACAGACAGATAAAATTACTGATATACAAAGTGATAGAACAAGAAGCACAGAAACCCTCTGGATAACTCTGTGCATTTTGATGTGCATTTGAAACTGTTGTTTCTGTTCCATATCAGACTCTTTTGGTATCCTTTCTCTTTTCAGAGATCCATCTTGAGAGACTTAGAACTTGATTTTGAGAAAGTCATGTATACACTACTGACACTAATTTAAATCCATTGAGTGTACATGTGGGTGAAACTCCTCCACTAGAATAAAAGGTTTTAAAAGCTGCTGGGCTGAACTGTGCCTTTCCATAATGTCTTATAGATAATGATAGATAATTGGGATTTAAGTACTAAAATATATCTATGATTTAATAGAATCATAAAATAGTATAGTTGAAGGGGGCCAGAGGCCCCAACCCCCTGCTCAGTGCAGGACTCCAAGTTAAGCTATTGCTCTCAGCTGACTGTCCAGTTGCACCTTGAATGCCTCCAGGGTGGGAAAGCCCACAAACTCCTGGAGTAATTGCTTCCATTGCTGTACTGCTCTATAGGTTTTTCACCTGTAAAATCCTAAAATCCAGATGTTGATGGTAAATAATCTATATAGAAATATGAATTGCAACATATTTTAGAATTTTACATGTCACATATTTCATAATTCAGTAAAAGCCAACTATACTACCTATAAACAAAATAATGGATTGGCTCCAGACCTCATCACATTTAGAGTAGATTCACTGTAATCAATGAGACAGCCTATCTGTTTTTACTGTGACATGGTTATGATAAAATAATTGTATATTCCTCTCAACTTTATGAAATACTTCTCTGTTATTCTTGGCAACATACATTTTTAAAAAGTTAAGCAGTGAGAAACTTTCAAATCTGGATCATTTTAATGGCTAATTTGCACATGCATGTCTGAGTTTGTGAAGTTCCCACAATGTGACTTCAACTTCTCAAAGGAGACCTTTGTCTGCAATTGTTGCTGCATATATTGTGTGACCGGCACCCTGTCACATGAGGAAGATTTTACTTCCCTCCCTACACAAATGGAGATGATAAAGGCAAGGGTGTTTGCCATAGAAAATGCACACACGAGTTGGATATTAGAGCTCAGTAAGAAAGGCGGGTGCTAACACAAAACTAGACTGATCTTGAAAACCGGATGGGCAACAGGAGAGATTAAGGGCTAATCTGTAGCAATTTGCACTGATGGGATACAGGAGTTCCTGGATAGTACCATCAGACCGGAAAGGTTGCATGTCTGAATATGCTCCTACACATAACACATGCCCATCAAAAACATGTCAGGAGGAATGCTAGGCTGCAGCCCTTCTCCCCAACAGTTAATTGTCTTTGACTCAGTGTGGAAGCAATGAGAAACCATCATCTGACAATACCATACACAGAAGCCAGGATTCTCAGAGTTGCACTCTCTCTTCTCCCCACTTCTGCGCAATGATTCCTTACCTATTACCCACGTTTGAGACAAACTGTCCTTTGTCATTTCACCCACACATTATGGATAGGACCCTTAATCTACAAATGCTGAACAGACTCCTGAATATGGGTGTGGTGTTGATAGTATTGGCATTGTAAGTTCTGGGATGTGGGTAGGAGGCAGCTACAGTCAGGATGCTGGGACCAGGTGCAGGTGAAGGCTTATATTATGTTCACTGGCCAGAGGCAAGGGGAGCCTCTTTGAACCATCCTGGGCCAAGAGCCAGGAAGACAAGAAGGTTCTGGTGGACACACAGCCCAAGAATAGGCCAAGGGCCAGATACTGGCAAGACAGTCAAATTCAGCAGTAAGGTGGCTGCAGGAAGGATGGGTGCAAGTCAGGCTGGGCTGGGGACAAGGAAGGGAGCAGGAACAGGCTGGCATTGGGCAGGTGGATAGGAGCAAGAGCTTGGAACAGGGTAAAGCTGGAAGCTGGAGCACGCCGTTGCCACTGCCACCAATAGCGCTCGTGTTGCTGTGGCAAGGAGCTGCAGTGCAGCAAGATCTATGCGGCAGCTCTCAGGGCTCCCAGCTGCCTGCGTCATTGCCCCACAGCTGTTCTCTGCAAGCGCCTGCAGAGGTGGTTCTGGACCTGCAGGCACTTGCGCAATGAATCAGGCTCATCCTGACAGGCATTTGATATTGTAAATGGACCCATTGATACTTTTTACATTCCAATCTCTGTGTGCAGAGATGGCGTGCCTCCGAATTCCAGGTGCTGGGGGCAAACCATGCTGGGTGTTCCCTTCATGTCTACCCAGAAGCATTTGCTGTCAGCAGCTGACATCATAACGCTGAACTGGAGAGACCCGTTGTTGGAAAAGCAACATATTTCTCATGTTCGAAGAAGGATCTCTTCCCAAATATACTTGCCCAGATCCTGCAGCTCACCTGGCACTTTTGTGGTACACTTTTCAGTGCCAGGTGAAGACCTTTTTTTCCAAGGAATTTAATATTGCAATCTTTGTTCTAAATCCTTCCCTATATTCTAAATCTTTGTGCTGCTGCTAGGTTTGACTTTGGCTTTTACTTCTATTTTATACTGTAGTTATAAACATGTAATGTTGTACAGTGTATTTTGCATACCACTTTATGGTTTTAATTGTTGTGTACCTCCTAGGTGGTATGGAAATGCATTAGAGAGACAGAGAAATCGAATCTGCCACATGGCCTGCTGCTTATGTAGAATGAGTGGACAGAAGTAAATGGACAGTTGTTTTGGACTTCAGTGCCCGGCATTTCCAACCATTGGTCATCCTGGCAGGGCCTGATGGGAGCTGTAGTCCTAAACCTCTAGAATGCTACTTTCTGCCCACTCTTGAAGTGGACACCTGCTGAAGCATCCAGCAGGCTTGAGGTTAAGACTGGTACAGGAAAAGGAAAAATGACAGAGTTGCTCACCCTGCCTGACTTTGACTCCTCGAGGCTGCAGGATTTTCTTCTGGTGGATTCTGACATTTCAGGAATTGCTCTGCTGCAACACTAACGAGGTAGCCAACCAAACACACACCCCCAACCGTAAGGAAGAAAAATCCCACAGGGTTGATGTCCGAGGAGATGGCCAGCATGGTCACGCCAATGAGGAGTGTGGTGGTGAACAGCACCAGCAGGGTCTGGCGGAGACTCCTCCAGTTAGATTCCGACAGCATGGCAAGGTGAGTGGCAGGTATGTCAGTCAGCAAGGAAAGGCAGGGCAGCTGGGGAAATGGGCATCTGCCAGAGATGAAACGCAGTGACAAACATGAAATGATGCAGACACATGTAACACAAATACACCACAGTCGCACCAAATGACATGCAAGCAAATCTCTGATGACAGCAGCCAGTCACAAAGGTCAATATGGTTAGTATTCGAAACAGAATCTCCCTGTGCTATGTTCATTCTATGCAAGACTCACCAACACCATTCTTCTCTCCCATCCGTCCATCCATCCAATCATCCATTCTTCCAACCTTCCAACATTCTTCCAAAAATGTTGCTACAGCTACTGGGTAAACTTTCCTTCTTTTCTTTCTTTCAAAACTTGCTAAAAGGGAAAACCAGCTGAGTTTATGTCAGGGAAGCCTTCCAATACTAGCCTGGATTGTCTTTCTGTCCTTTAGAAAGGGAAACCCTTCAGCTAATGAGAGGGGTGGAGAAACCACTTCTAGGAAGTCTGGCTCCCTGAGCACAGGAAGAACCAGACAAAGACCGGCTGAAGGCCTGCTGGCCGGAAGCCAGGCAGTTTCAGTGCAGCCGCAGGGTTCTCTTTATTTACAAGATGTTCTACATGTATTGTAGATTTGTAAATAAAGTAAATATTACTCAGGTCCTTATCTAATGACACTCATCCCCAAAGTTTGATAAGAGACTGGTGTGATTGAACAAGGCAGAAAATCAGCCCTCCTAGCTACAGTCTTTCAGAACACCCTTCCAGGAGGTGAGAGGCAAGAGTCGAGGTAGTTGGCACAGCAGGAACTATCAATAAGATATGTGGCATGGGTTGCTTGTGAAACAACCCACAGTGCACCTGGCAGACAACCTGGCTCATCATCTTTCTCCTTGGTCCTGTTCAGGATCTCCCAGAGACTCCACAGCAAGGCCTGTCTGTCTCCTCTCCCTTTGCTGCAGCTTTTCCCCCTTTCCTGTCAGAAGCATGTCTCTCCCCTGCCCTTTTCCCCTTGCCAACAGCATTAGAGAAAACCTTCGATGCACAATCCTGTATTTGAACTCTGTAGTTACAAACACCCTAATTCAAAGTAATGATCTCTTTGAGATGTGAGAAGAAAATCTGCATGAATAAAGGGGGTGGATCCAAAGGGAAACATCTCCCTTTCATAAAGGTTTCAACTCTACCCTCAGGGTGGCTCCTGCTATTGGATACCTCTAAATTGGCCCATTCACGTCACCTGTCATCCCCTGAGAGGGTAAATCTCTCCCCACCACACCCATTCTGAAAAGCCCTCCTCCTTTTCCATGGTGGGCAAGTTCTCATGATCTCACTATCTTCAAGGTTTCAAACTGAAAAGTCATTTGCTTGTCCCTGCCTCACCAGCTCCTCCTCCAGACTTGAAGAATCAAATTTGAGAGAGCTGTGCTCCTGCTTTTTTTGGGAGATCATTTATTGCAATCTCCAAGTTGGCAGCCCCTTCCAAAGTACCCAAGCAGCACCTTGGAGGGCTGTCACTGGTTTACTACTTATTTTTTGGGCCCTCAAATTTTAAAACTTCTTGAGCTGAACAAATGAGGTGGTGCACACTTCTAGGGATCCAGACGGAGAAGCTAAATGGGGCACTGCCCTGGGAGTAGTTTGCTGCTGAAGTGCAGCAGATACCAACCATGAATGTTGACATAGAGAGGCTACACATAGGATTAATTTTATTCTGCTTTCTCCTGAGCTGTCATGGGAAATCAAAGCCATGAGTGATCTTTGCTTGCAAAAGTGGGTAGTCAATAGATTACCCCCTTTCTGGCACGTTCCCCTAGGATGGGGAGGGGGGGAGTTCAGCCTGACTTTTCTCAGTGTCCTGCATCTTTTGCATGCTTCCTTGAGACTCCTGGTGCTCAGGACTGTGAAAAAGTGCAAGCTACCCCATTTATGAAAGCATGTAAATTTGACAACTGTCAAAAGTCAGGCTTCCTTTTAAAATGGGGGGGGGCATAAGAACACATGTATATACATATGTATATGTCCCTGTCAAAAAAAGTGAGTAACATTGCCAAAGTATCTGTTTAAAAAGAAGGCTAGGTTTTTGACATCTACCTGTTAAAACTTCAACAGGTAAAAGGGGTGACTTGCAATTTTCCATCTTCTTGAGCACCTGTAGTGCTGGAAAAGGGTAAAAGAGATACAGAATATTGAGAAGAGCAGGTCCAGCCAAAAATCCTAGAGGCTTTTGCTGTAAAGGAATGACTTGCTGGCTTCCCCCTCTTACTGGCCGCATAAGCAAATGCGACTTGTGACTTTGCTTTCCCTTAACAGCTTGCCTTGTGACAGCTGTTGGGAAAGCAAAGTTAATTAGCAGCCCCTCTGGGTCCATGGCTGGTGTTCACTGCACTTTGACAGCAGACACCTCCCAGGAATCATCCAGGTGAGAACTTCCATTTTGGACCTTTGCAGCTGTGCATCTATGCACTTACACAAGTTCATGCATTAATTAACAATCTGCCATTTAGAACACCATTTTTAAAAGTGTGGTGAACAAGAGACAACTCTTCCAGTGGGCCACTTGGACAATTTGGAGGACCTGTCATTGTCAATTCAGAAATCACAAAAAATGAACACAAGGGGAAAATGGGGGGAAAGTGGGGGGAAACACCAAACATGGACTTGCAGTCAGCAAGGGGGCATCAAGCCAGTGATTGCTGCTCCCCTGTGCCACATGGGGATTAGTGGAGCAGCTTTCACGGGTGGTGGTCTGGATGAGCTCAGCAACAGAGGCAAGGGGATTGCCTAGCAGCTCCCTCACAACTTCCCAGAACCCATGATGGGAGCAGTTGCTGCAATTCAGATGACATGACAGCCCATCACAGGTATAACAACCCCAGTCAGTGTGGCACACTGCCCTTAAACAAGCCATCCCATGGAAAGCAATCCAACCACAGCTTGTCATGAACAGTGGACTGTCATGTTATGTGAACATAGTCAGCAAGAGGTGGTGGTGAGATCCTTACTCACCAACAGCTGGAAGGGTGAATACTGATCCAGAAGCTCAATATAAATAATTGTAAATCTATATAATAGAAAATGGTATAAATGTAACCCCTTCAACTCTTTTTGGTACAAATATTGCCTTGTTTAAGCAAAGATCCATGAAGAACAATGGATGGCCAAAATGTTGGTGGTTGAAGCCCCATGAGTGAGTGTGTTCAAGGACTGGCTGGACATGCAGGTGGTAGGTATATCATGAGCGGAGCTGGCTGGAGCTGGGGGTCAGACTAGATGGCCCGAGAGTTCCCTTCTGACTCACTCTGTTTCTCTGTTATTCTACTGGATTTTAAAGTAAGTTTAATAAATATGGGGGTTTGCATCCTTAGACTGTTATGCTCTCCTTTTACCTGCATGCACAATGTCACCACACACATGGAGTGTACTTCTGTCAAAGCTCATCTTTGAGGCACCTCCGTGAGTTCTTAACGTAATTGTGCTGAAGCTGCCTCACAGGTGAGGTGGCCCTTTGAGAGCACCCTAGCCTAGATCTTCCCCGTTTATTAAGGCTAAGAATTGTGCTGCTGGAGAAGACTCCTGTGAGTCCCTTGGACTGCAAGGAGATTAAACCCTTAGAGGAGATCAACCCTGACTGCTCTTTAGAAGGCCAGATCCTAAAGATGAAACTCAAATACTTTGGCCACCTAATGAGAAGGAAGGACTCCCTGGAGAAGAGCCTAATGCTGGGAACAATAGATGGCAAAAGAAGGAAACGGCAGAAGATGAGGTGGCTAGATGGAGTCACTGAAGCAGTTGGTGTGAGCTTAAGTGGGCTCGGGGGGGGGGTGGAGGACAGGAAGGCCTGGAGGAATGTTCTCCATGGGGTCGCGATGGGTCGGACGCAACTTTGCAACTAACAACAACCACTGTCTGTGTAGTGAAATGTGATTTCTTCAAGCTTAGAGGCCTCTTGGGTAGCCCAAGGGCAAATCATGAGCTTTCCCCAAACCAGCATCACATTTTATGGGACTCGGCTAGGATTGTGGATGGCCTCTTGAGAAAGCTCAGAAGCCCACCCAGCCCGAAGTAGTTGCCCCTGTTGTCTCTCGAGTGAACCAGCCCTCTAACTGCGGCCTCTCTGCACAGCGCGTCCCCGGGGCGCCAGCGGAAGGACCGAATGGAGCACCCGCGCCCTCTGCTGCCGAGTGCTGCGCAGGTAAGCAGCTACTCGAGGAGCGCAGCTCTGTTTAGGCCACAAGGGGATTCCGGATGGAGGAAGTTCTGCGCTCGCTCTCCGTGTTGCAACAACGGCGGCTTTGTTGCCGGACGCTCATTTCCTCGTGCTTGAATAAAGCAACTGCGGGGCGCTGGCTAAGCGCAGGAAAATTCCATAAGCCGAGCCAGGGACGGAAGGTGCCCGCGAAACTGTAACCCAGAGGAGGAGCGGAGAAAACTGGGGGTGTGAGAAAGAGAGTGGGGGGGGGGAGTAACGTGGCGGTGTCAACAGATGATCTTTTGAGGCTGAGGCAGCCTTTCCTAATTTAGTATTGTGTTCACTTCTGTATCGCCCCACAGCTGGAACGCTCTGGCGGTTTATAGCAGTCTCACTTACTGCATACGCCAGAATAAGCTATCTTCACGATACACATGGCAACACCCCTTCAGAGGCCATAAACGGCCCAGTTCTAGAAAGCAAGGAAGAGGTGGATGAGATCTGCATGCATACTACACAGTCACGCATTGAGGATAAAAGCAAACAATTTTTCCACTTAAAACTGACTTGCTTATTTCGCCAGAAGAAAGTTTCCAAGCCCTCCTGGGTGCCTTTGTACTTCTCCACCTATGCAATACCTATCTAGGATTGCAGTTCCTATCATGGCCATCCATGAGTGGAAACATACAGCTTATATGAAAGATATCCTTACTGAATACAGGTATACCTACAATCCACATAATTAAGGGTGGTTTATAAGCTGACATGAGAGAGGGGAAGACCTGGATTAACCAGTAAAACTTTATCCTTAGGCTTGTCTCCAACACTCTAACCTACATCACAAAGTTGTGAAGGTAAAACGGGTGCCGTATACATTGTCCTATACATTGCCTTCTTTGGTTGTCCTACACATTCTAGAAGGGCAGGGATGGTTATTATTACCATGATAATTTACATCCAGAGAGAACCAAAAATATGTACTCAGTCTTTAAACATCATCATAATATAACCTACTTTGAATCTTGACGATCATTTTCAGCACATAGTCATTTTAAAAAAGCCTTTAAGGAACAGAAGTGACCTTAAAGATACATTGCTTTTATGATTCATGATTAGACATGTATATATTCTCAATGACAGCTCAGGTTCCCGTGATTAAAGATGCCGTAATGCTTAAAACATGCTCAGGAAGTATCCTGAGATTTATAGCAAAAGACAACAATGAATGCAATATCGGAAAGCAACAAATTCCATTTCGTGTATTTAGGTTTCAATTCCATTGAAATAATTGGAAGTTTGAATTAAATGGGCTACATTCTTTTCTGTTGAGCCATGTCCTGTCTGTAATATAAGCGGCAATCCTCAGCGGGAGAGAAAGCCCCTCTGAACACAGCAGAACTTGTTTTGGAGGAAACATGGGCCAGGTTGCATTTCTGTGCATCCACTGACTTTGTGCAGGGGGAAAGGAAGCCATGCACTCAGATCATTCAAGGATTGTGGAATGTGCAGAGGTCCCATGTGGCAAAGGCTCTCCAACTGGCTATAGGTTCTTCTGCATAGTGCAAGGCTACACAGACAACAGCCCTTGTTAGCACACTTGGCTGCATCACATGTCAAGTCCCTGAACAGCCGCCCCCTTTGCCAGGCACTCAGTAAGGCACACGCACTCCCCAGGCAGAATGTTCTCTGCCAGTCCCAGCCACAAGCTCTTACCTTCTGCCCTCATTCCCAGGTAACCATCCACATCCTCTTCGCCACACTTAGCAGCTTCTCTCGGTTCCTGTCCTCGCACCTTAAGGGATCATACAAATATCCAAGAAGAAAGTTGCAAGTGTAGAGAGAAAGCAAACCACAGCGCTGCTCAGTTTTTCCACTCCAAAATGCTACCGTCCTCGTGAGAATCTTCTTCCTTTTCTTCTTTTGCCGTCTTGGTTAAGGCACCTCAAAGGAGCAGGAAGCTAACTAGGGAAAGGGTGGTTTGAATGACTGTGTGTGATCTGCCTCTCCTGTTCTTCTTTTGCGATCACACTAAGATCACTCACTTTTTCCCAATAGAACACTTCGGGAACACTTCCCTCCACAGGGTGGGGCCCAAGGCCCAGCCCTAAATCACACGGGCTGTTCATAAAACTATTTACAAGCTCTTTAAACATATCAGTGGTATGTATCCTTCCCGCACGTACTGCCTGCCGGGTACTGGTTTTACCCCTGGCTTTTGACCACAAACAGGCTATCTATCAGGGCAAGAAGCCACCCAGCTGGAAGCTGGGGCAGAGTTTCTGTGATTCACAAGAACCACCTGGTGAGCAGGGCAAAGGGTCTTGTTCTTGTATGTTCATGTGAATGTTCTTGTAAAATTGTAAAAAAAAGTGGGGGGTTTGTTTTGCAAAATTAGAGCTAGTTAGTTGCAATTTTGATGAATGTGTGAAGCATCAATGAAATCTTACCCAAACTCATGTGCCAGTCTCGCAGAGCTGATGTCTGGTGACTAGAAGCCTCAGGTGTCTGCACTGGGAAAGTTTCTCAAACTGCAGGTGAGTGGCTTTCAAACATTCAGACTACAAGCAATTAGTGCCCTGCTTAAGCATCTGCTGCTGATCCCTTTCTCTTGGAAGATGTTCTAGGGAGCCCTTCTGGGGCACATGCACCCTTGCTTGAGATCCCCTAAAACAGACTGAAAACTAGAACTGTGAAGGTTGTCAGTAACTTTTAGGCATTTTTGTCTCCTTCTGTGGGCGTAATGGGACTGAGGCCTGGGCTACCCCAGAGTTTTATAAGATAGGAAATAATGTTCTTTGCTGATTCACCTGTGGGTTTTGGCACATTAAGTGGGGGTGCCCTGCACTTGCTCTCTGGCATACTGTCTGCAAACCTCCGAAGGTCAGATCTGCTTTCTTGTCCCTAGTGCTGCACTCATATCCGTCAAGTCTTGTGTACGTCACAGCCCAGCGTCCTGGTGAAAGGCGTCCTTCATTTCAGGTCACAAAATTGGAAATGCTGCACCCAAAGAGCCAGACCTCCCACGAGAGCTGCCTCGTTGCAGAGACGCACAAAGCCCCCTGAACATGTTTGCCTCCTTCAGCATTTCTCAGATGTTCTCTCAGGCAGGAAATGGCCTCAACAAAACACGTCAGGAAAATATTAGTGGCACCTCCAGACCCCGATGTGATCACCTCTGCCAACTGACAGGAAGTTTCTTCAGCAGTTTCTTCAGCAGCTAAGGTCTTCCTTATGCTGATGAAAGACAAGTAATATTTATTATCACATTGCATTTATATCCCATCTTTTTCCGTCTTGTGAGGAACCCAGGGCAGCTTGCATAGCCTTTCTCCAATCCATTTTGTGCTCAAAACAACAACCTTGTGAGGTAGGATGGCCTGAGAGGGAGTGACTAGCCCAAAGACTGAATGGCATCTCTGGCTTATCATGTATGAGCCCAGTCTCTAGGTGGTTGCAATGGTCCCCAGAGTGCACATCCACCCCTCACCATTTTTATTTATTATTTTATATGTTTTTCCTGTGTTACAGTTATTTACATGCTGCTTTTCAGGGCACAGATTCTATTAAGGTGGCTTGCAAAAATAATAAAACCTCAACGAACAAATAAATCTAAAGTAAGGTATCAGGAATTTCCCCACAGGGTAGTTGGAAGAAGGTGGCTTGGGGTGGGAGAAGAACCCACTGGGCAGAGTGAGGTGGCTGATTTGGAGTGGCATGAAGGGGAAGCAACTTGTTCGTTTAGTGTCTGATTATTGTGGCTCTGCTCCAAAGAGGTTGTATTTTCTGGGCTAGGGGCTGAATTAACTTGGCCAGCCTTGGCTACAATGTGAGGGAGTTTGCTTCTATGCTTTAGGCAGCAAATGTCTTGGGCCAGTCTGTCAAAATACATCTAGAAATGTTAAAAACTGAAACATTAAAAAATAATATTTGCACAAATCATGCTGAAGCTGAAAACTATGCAGTTTTGGTACAATCTGTACACATTGCACTAGAATGATGTAGTTTCTAGCTTTTATTTTGCACAATAGCACAAATGTGTTTTTAGTTTTTGTTTTGTTTTGGGGTTTTTTAAGAGTGCAAATTGTGGCCCTTAGAGAAAGAATTCAATGGGAAAACCTGTGACTCAGCCTGCTCCCCATCACTGGAACAGAAGTGGGCAGAAAATCGGATGAGCTTAGGCAAGCCAGAAATCCCAGAACCAGCAGACCTGATGGGTCCTCTCTATTCTTTTGTTCTAACTTAAGCTGACTACATGAAGTCTGAAGCGACAATCTGCATTCAAGTGCATTAGATTAGAGTTCTGGACTAGGGTTCAGGAGACCGGGGTTCTAGTCCCTGTTGGGCTCTGGAGCTCACTGGGTGACTTTGTGCCAGTCACTGACCCTCAGCCTAACCTACTTCACAGGTTTGTTGTGAGGATGAAATTTGGAGGAGGAAGAACAGGATTATGTGAGTCACCTTGGGTTCCTTGAAAGGAAGAAAAGGCAGGAGATAAATATTATACCTAAAACAATAATAATAAATTCAACTAACATGGCTAGTGGCCCTAGGGTTGTTGTGAAGATAACATGAGAAGGAGGACCATGTAAACTGTTTTTAGTTCCTTGCTCTAGGGAAAAGAGTAAGATATACACAAATAATAAGAAATATTTTGAAATATTTCTACTGCACACAACTCTGTTTACATCCCCAAGCAGCTGTCACCTGCTCGCCCTGACTTCTCCATATCAGCACTTTCCTTGGTTGCAAGGAATCTGCCTGCCCGTATCCTCCTGACCTCCTGAGAAACTTGCTTGGCCCCTTCTGGCCAGGCCACTAGCCCACGCCACAGCCTCCATGGCATGCTTCGTCAGCGACCAACCCAGAGGCTCCTCACTTCTTTTCTGGAGACAGGAGTAACTGCCTGCGCAAATTATACCCCAGGGCTTGCGTTTGTTCTCTCTGTTCTTGTTCATACAAAGCTGCCTCTGGGCAGTTTCTTTCAGACTGAAGATAAAGGCTTAGACCACTTGTAGGCCATTTCCATAATTCCTGATTCCCTATCCATGGTTTAGACGATTGTATGCTTCCCCATACAGAAGCATTCCTTCCAGATGCACAATGTAGAGAGGGAGAAGAATTCCTGGACACACCAGTTTTCTATCTGCAGGGATCTTAAGGTTTAATTTATGGAGAAACATTCCATCATGTAGTCCCCCACCTGCAGTCTGAAGTGGTAAAACCCAGGCACAGGTTTACAAGCTTTGCAAGGTCTGCTCGGGATCAGGGTTGCTTTCCGGTCTGAAAAGACATCTTCTCCCCTTTCCATTTGTTTCTCTTCTGGCATGAGGTGCTGAGTCATGCTGATGGACCTGAACCTTGTTTACCATTTGTTCTATAGTGACAGCCAGAGGATTTTAATGGTGGTCTTGGAAGAGGCATCACTTCCTGATTTTGCACACCTGATTTTGCTTGTCCCACTGGGAACTCTGGCCAAGCAGGTTTTGCATATAATTGAAATAATTAGGAGTGCAAAAACTGTTCACCAGAATCAAAAGTAGGAAATATTGGCCCTTTTCCAAACTGCTTTCAACTCTCTGAGGAAATACTGTCGTCTTTTTCCAGTGTTACTGAATATGTTAAGGGGCTTTCCACAGAAGCAATAGTTAAGCATATGATGTACATTCTTTTAAATGTGTGTGCATTTTGCACATCTTTCTCAAGGACATACACCCTCCAGGCCAAGTAGATTTTAGGTGCTAGAGAGTGAAGATGGACATAACAGCTAAGTTTTAAAATGACACTAAGCCTGATTTAGCATTGCTAGAACAAGACTGAGCAAATCCCCAGTTGCACATTCCCTCTCACTCTGCTTCCAACACTGCTGCCAGAAGGAGACTGGAAGCTTCACAATTCTAAATTAACTGTAGTTTAGTGAGTTGTCTAACACCTAAACTGTGGTTAATCTTAATTATGGCTTCTTGAAACAAGACAACTTCTTAAACTATGTTTTGAAGTTGGCTTAATTATAGTTCAGCTAACCAGAATTAAGTTTAACCACAGTTTGTCTCTGTTTGGAGAGCATGTCAAACTATGTTTAATCCAAAATGGAAGCAAAAGCTTCCAAACTTCTCATATCTACAGCAGAGGATGAGGAGGGAATGTGTCAGGTATAGCTCATTCCTATAAAATTACATTTCAGTTTAATGTCACATCTGAATTAGCCCAATGTTCCCAGAGAAATAAGAGCATTTTTCCCATCCATGTTGTTTTGCCAGATTCCTACTGTGTGCACTTTAGATATTTTATCAGCCCTATTTTTTTGCCCCTCTGCCTGCACTTGAGGTGAGCTGTCATCCTTCAAAAACTCTACACATGCATGTATTAATTCATATACTTCTTCTTTGTCCATAGAAACATTTGAAATAGTAGAAAGAATGTTCTGCTGATAAGGTGGGAATAAGGGGTACTTTATTTTTCAAGAAGATTTGGGAAATGACTGTAAACATGTTGCTAGGCTATACAGTCTATAGGTCTTCAGAGTTCCCATCCCCACTTGGGTGTCTAGTCTCTAGGATGGGGACAGAAACTTCTTGACTGCTGTGAGGGAACTGTAGATGAAACCACATAAACTTCAAGTTACTATAGAGTGCATGGTTTCCCATTCACATACTGGAGCTGGTGGAATGCATTGTGTGTTTTTAATGTGGTAACACATTTTGGGACAATTATTTTTTTCAGGCAGAACCCAACATTTTTAGAGCAATGAGAACACTCGGGAAGTGCCTGCAATACCTCTAGACAAAAACTATTCCTTCTGGCTTGAGTTCTGAAACATCTCCTTGAGGCTTTCATGGGTCTAAACTACCAGACAGTTGCTCAGTAGGCTTTTAAATTTAGCTTAGCTAAATTTAGCAGCTAGAACATCTGGATGGAGGGGCCTCAGGGCATTATTTGGAAGTGCCTAAACAACAGAAAAATATAAAGAAATGGACCACTGAATTCTTCCTTCACCATTTTCCTAATAGGGTCTCATCTAATCCTCCCTTCCCTTCCATTTTCCTTTTTCTTTTCCTTTTTGCCTCTCTCTCTCCTTCCTTCCTTCCTTCCTTCCTTCCTTCCTTCCTTCCTTCTTCTTTTTGCAGGGGAGATCAAAAGAGATGCTTTAGGCCAATGGTTTGTCAGAGTATAATAATTATCGTTGCCACTTGTAACACCAACTTCAATGCCATGAACACAAGATAAAAGAAGTGATAAGATTACAAGGTAACCTGTGGTGGCCACACCCCAATTAGTTAGCTAATGTAAGTTCCCATGGTCGCTTGTAGTTCCATGGAGACCATTCATGACACAGAAACAAACTTTCTCAAAGTCTCACACGTGGTTTGCTTGCATTTTTATCCTGTGGTGTTCTATCTCAAGCAGAGGTGGGGAACCTTCAAGCCCTAAACTAAATCTGCCCAGTCTGGGTCTCAGTACTCCTCTGAGGCCCTGCCCTTCTCTGCCTAGTGGTCCAAGTGATGACGAAAGAAGTGGGAAGAAGGTTAATGCCGCCAATGCCTGCCCTCTCCATGCCTGGCTGGGCAGAGGTGACTGAGCGCCAGGTGCTTCTACGCACACCTTAAGCCTCCCCAAGAGAGGAGGTGGCAGTGGGGGGCAGGAGGAGGCAATGAGGCTTGTGTGGGACAAGTGCTCCATGCAGAAGCCCTATTATAAAGGACTGTCAGTGGTCAAGCAGGGAATGTAGCAGCTGTGGCTGAAAGAATTTAAACTGCTTTAAGTCCTCTGGGTACAGAAAAGAGTGTGTGGGGGACATACTGAACAAAGGTATAAATCACATCTGGATCTGTCTGGTTCTGACTCTGCCCACAGTAGGAGCATGGTTTTGCCCAAAGGGATGTGGACTTTGACCAGAAAAAGGGCTTTCCAGCCTCAGTGAAAATGCCTGTAGCACAACTGCAATTTTAATATTTCTCTCTGACCCAAATAGGCCAGCTCCTATTTTCTTCCTAAACTCTTCAGCTCCTAAACTCTTCAGATAGCATCAGTGGCGCTTTAGAGAAATGGAATTCATGGAATTCAGAATCCACCCGGGGTTCACAGATAAGTGATTCACAGAAGAGCAACCTCAGCCTACCCACTCTTTTCCCACTGTTGATCAGCGATCAGTTTGGCAGGGGACTGGGGTGAGGGATTTTAACTCTCCGGGCTCTGCTATTCACAGCACAGTAGCAGCAATCTTCATGGGAGCCACATTTCTTCTGCAACAGGCTGAGAGGAGATCCTTTTCATGCTTTGCAAAAGAAAACTGCTACAGTCCATTAACCAATCGGCTTCAGGAGGAAATAGAACAATGCAGGCTCTTGCAAGAGAAATGCGTATGTATCTGTGCATAAATTTAGGAGGCTGGAATGCACTCAGGAACAGAAAGGAACAAGGATCCTTGTTTCTAAGAGTATCACCTGTGAAAGGTTAGACCAGAGATGTGCACCTGCAAGGCCTCCAGATGCCTTGGCCTACAATCCCCATTATCTGTCACCATTGGCTATGCTTGCTTGGGTTGATGGGAACTGTATTTTTTATTTATCCGATTTATATGCCACCCCACCGGCCCTAGGCTCTCTGGGTGGCTTACATCATTAAAATCCACCCGACAAAACACATATAACTGGTGGCCATTTGGAGGGCTACAAGTTGCCTATTCCTGGGTTAAAGGGTGGGTTACTCTTGATGCTGCCAATAGTGGGCAAGTAATGCCATAAGGGACCTCGCAGTGCAGTCATGTTGAAAGCTGAAGCTTCACATTTCGCCTTACAGTTGACCTGGACTCCCTGCTGCCTTCCACTTGTTCCAGCCTACTGGGGAAGGAAGCCTGAAGATTATCAGAACAATTGGCCCATATCTCCTGGGTGAGCCAGACTTACAAGGCACTGCAACACCTTCCCACACCAGCAAATAATTGCCAGAGCATTTCCTCCTTTTTTCAGCAGTACATGGCTGGGGAGTGTGAAGAGTGCGCTGTCTCCCTGAATGGCCACCGCTCCAAGAGATCAACTAAGCAAGCTGCAAATGGGAAATTCTAAAGACATTTGCCCTGAATTAATCCAGGGGATTGCACACCCCGTGCCCTGGAAGACACACATTTCTATTACTGAGGGGGTGGGGAGGTATATGAGTCCTTGTTTTGAACTACATGCAGGAAATATGAAAAGAGGAAGAGTAAGTCATGTGTGCTTCCTGTGCCCACTTTTTGTGTAATTCCCCTCTTTGAGAAGGTTTCAACAGAACCACATAAGAATGAGAAAAAATACTTCTGAGTCCCAACTTATGAACCGTGGCAGAGGACACAGGAGCAAAATGGTCAAATGGGTAGGGACCATTTTATAACGTTATACATGGCTCAACAAATGGGCTGTTCCACAGAAATCTATAGTGAAGCACTTTTCCCTGTCAAATGTTCTCAGAAAGTCAAGTGCACGTGGGAACTCAGCCAACATATGGTTTTGTTTCATAGAACATTCCCCTTGTGGATCAGTGACAGATCAGTTGCTGACAGCTGCATCATGGTCCAGTGAGAAAGCAGGCATCCTTTCTACCATTATCTTTACCATGGTGACCTGGTCCCAGCAGGGCCTCCAGTCTGGGTGGAAGGCCTGGAGCAGCAGAGAATTCCAGCACCTGCTGGCAGCCACCACGAACAAAACAAGCCCAGCCTCCGCAGATCCAGGTGCTCTTGGTCGCTTGGGACTGGCCAAGGATCTCCCTAGGGTCTCTTGTGATGGGCTTCTCTGTAACCCCTTTGGGTCCTCAGGAGAGCACAGCTAGATTACAGGTTTTGCTCAATACCTTGTGTGCAACCTGGTTGTTAAGTCAGTGTTTAGCATGACAAAGAATGTGTCACACACCTTTGTGGGCCTTCCTATATTCACCCCAAATCCACACAGTCTGAGTTTTGGTGAAAGCAGGGTAAAAGTGTTTTAGGGATTCAGGGAAAAGTAGAGAACAGGAAGGTTGGTCAGCTTAGGAGCACAAAACAGTAACTGCTTTGAAATGGCAATTTTCACTTAACCGCAGTTGACCTTGGTCCAAAAGAGAAGTCATAAAGTAGCAAAGAGAAGTCATAAAGTGCTTTGTTTAAGTGGAAAAACTCAATTTAATAGGGTTTTAAATTTAAGAAAAAAAATGTATGCTGAGGTTGCTAGGATATAGTGTAAGAACAAATTCTTCCATCTGTGAAATTGTGAAAAAAGAAATGTATATGTACAGTATATAATGATTGCTATTATCTGCAGTTTCAGGCTTCCACTGGGGGGCTTGGAACCTTTCCCCACCGACTTGGGGGTCCTGCTGTCATGGTTTTGGAATTCTCTCATGCATTTTAATAAGTTTTATGCAACAAAACTTCACAATGGATTGTTTCCTTAATATAACTTTACCTGCAAGATCCACTGGAAGCTACATTCCACTATGAGACATACTCTGTACCCAGCAGCAATTATTACAGACTTCTTGAGTAAATAGCTATCAATTTGTAAGTGGGCTGTTGGGCACCTAGCAACCCACCAAATATATCTCAGAACAAAGATGGTTTTTCTGTCTGTCTGTCTGTCTTTTTCATCATGTTTCATTCTATGCCCAAGATGGGTCACAACCATAAAACGGTATAAAATCATAAAATATCAAACCCTTTCTCCAGGAGTGGTAAACACTCAGACATTATTTTAGAACATAAAAAGCCATTTTAAAAATGTATGTTATTTACTGACTCTTTAAAGAACATGTGCCTCCTTAAGGGACTCATTAGGATCCATGCTACATTCCTATTTAATCAGTTGAAAGCAGTACCTCTTGTCTGTTGGAACACCAGCCTTCTGGCTTTTTCCCCCAGAACCAAAAGCTTTGCTAATAAATTCTGGTTCAGTTCACATGTTACATATGACTACCCAGGTTTTACATAAAACCCTGGGCAGCCATGAATAAACAGGAGGAGTGGGCATGTTGGTACCCACCCACATGCTCCTACTGAATCAAACCAGCTAGGAACACTGCATCCCATCCTTGCTCATCATGACATCCAAACCCAGAACTGAAAGTTACTGGGAGAAGGACAACTTGGGTTACAAGTCTGGGCTGCTCCTCCAACAACTACTCTAATTTTGAATTTGGACATCATGATAAACAACCCAGAGAGGGAGCATCCCGGGGCTGTTGGAGTCAGTAGGAGCAGGTGGACAGAAGCCCATACGATCACTCATTCCTGTTTCCCGTCAGCAACCTGCAGATAACAGATTGTGGGTTGTGTTCAATGTGCAAACCAGGTCACCAAGTTTTGCCAGGAGTAGAAAGACAGTGGAAATATTTAAACGTGTATGGTATTTTAAAAAATCAGCCTTCTAGCCAATGGCACATAACAAAGTTCTGGTTTCCGGATCTAATGACAATTTTTGCTGTTCAAGTTCTGCTCTAAGGGACTTGAAGTTCACAGAGTACTTCATGGAATGTAAAGCCTGTTCTTCTAATTCATCTGACCAAACCTAGAGGCTGAGAGCTGGTCATTTCTGCAAATGATCTTCAAGAAAAAAACAAAAGCATCATATAGACCAAATTTACTTTCTATTTAATTGTATTATCATGAAGTGCATAAGAACTGAAACCAGTCCAAAGGCCAACCCAGTTCTACTTTCTGCTCTGAACAGAAGCTAAACAGATGCTTTGGAAAAGAAGAGCATCAAACTGAAACATCTCTTTTTGTTTGTGGCCTGCGCCTGGCAAAAATATGCCACCTTCCCCAGGACATTGAAGTCAATGATATACCATTTGTACAGCACTGCAACATTAAGGCACACAATGGAACGATGTTCAGACTTTACCCACCCGCCCCGTGAAAGAAGAGAAAACTAACTACAAGTTCTGCTTGTATCCAGCAGCTGCCAGAAAGATTCCGCTCATTATGGTAGAATCTTTAAGCCATTTAACAGTTACAAGGTGGAATGAAGGATTCTGTGTGGAATTTCAGGAATCCATGGTTGTGATAACTTAGGCCAGACTCATGCAACAGCTTACATGAGGGACTGGGGAAAAGGGTGGGGGTATTTTAAAAAGCAAATTATGGAGTGGATGCAGCTGAAGCTGGATAAGAGTTCCCAACTCCTTATTCCTGGAAATGTTTGGAACAGAACTCATTGACCAACGTTTATGCAGCGCCACTGTCCAAATGGGCTTCGGCCTACCCGGTATTATGTGACTCTGTGCCTCTCCCCATTGAGAATCACAAGGCGGAGCTGCAGCCATGGTGCAACCAGAACATGCATGGGAGGAGAGCAGGAGCAGGTGCACTGCAGGCCTTGCATGTCGCCTGCCTGCTTTCCTCTCCACAAGCTCCTGCATGACTTCCTTGCTTTCTCCAGCCATGACCAGGTCCGCCGAGGTCTCAGGATCAAAAGCTTGCCCAAAGTGCCTGCAGAATGTCTGCAGGACGCATCGCTGAGAACCAGAAACTCGACATGTGGAAAAGGCTGCCATTAAGCATCAGCCTGGTGTTTTACAGCACAAGTCATTCTCAGATAAACAGTTTGCAATGAGCCAGCCTTCTCAGCAACTGAAATATAAACGCTCACCCTGCTGAGAGTTTTGTGTCAATAACTCTATTGTACATTACTTTGCCTTGCTGGGTTTTATCTGTGCTTGGTACCAGGCTGATTTACCACCTCCCAGAAGGCTAATTAATTAATTAGTTAATGATTTAACTGCTTTGAAGATACAGAGTACAACACTGTTAGCAACAATAATCATTTAGAGCATTTGTGCTTTAGCAGTCTAAAACTGATGGAGGGTTTTTGTAAAATTGAAGCGGTTCCTTTGGAGTACACGAATTAAGGTGGGGCACACCAGTGGTCTGGGATCTGCCAGCAGCCCAGCCAGGGACGCAGACCAGTGCAATGGCACCAACTGGTGTCAGCTGCCACCACTGAGATCTGACCAAACCCAGTCTCAAAAAAGGGGACAGATCACATTTCAGGACATAATCATTAACCTTTGCAGTGGGTGCTATTTTATGATGCTGTTGTTATTAGTTTTCAGTGCAATCCTCTCAAGAAGTCCAGGAAACCTCACACTTGAAGGCTTATGGACATCCAGTGCAGAGTCTGAGCAGCACGGAGGTTATTCTCGCTTTCCTACGTTTGGAAGTTGTTCTTGCTTTCCTACATTTCTGCTCTGCATATTCACGCGACAGGCAATTTGCCATCTAGTTGGCATACTGCTGAGGACTGCAGTTCCTATTTGCCACTATTAAATAATTCTGTTCTTCTGTGCCACCCATGTATGTTTGGGCTATTGACTTAATGGACCACAAACACTGACCATTTATGCAACACTTCTTGAAAAGCTTGTGGATTTCTGAAGACTAAGCACCTGTTAAAAATACAAGAGCAGCCCAGAACAGTCTGTCTGTCTGTTTTTCAACTTATCCATCAACAACATCACATGACTTAAGATATTTAGTACGTATTTATTTATATATGTGTATACATAAAAATATGTATTTATTTTTCTTACTGCTTGCTTAAACTATTTACATCCTACTTTA